GGCCCACCCTTCGGACTTGATCTAGGCTTGGTAAATATAATAAATCGGTCGATATTATAAAACTAACCGATATTCCCCATCTTTGAACTTTAACTAAGTTTGGTAGAAATACTACAATGTACAAAGTTTGGATGAAATAAATTACTGCTTTCGAGAGTTATCGGACGGCCAGGCAGACGGACGGACATTTGTAAATCGACTGCAAATTGTCTGAAACGTATTGGGTCCTAAGAGACATGGGGTCTAAAATCAATATTTCGATGGGACACATTTTTGCCGTATCAAATTGTATATGCTCTCATTAGCCATAAAGCTGAGGGTATAAATATTAGGTTGTACAAAGTTTTGTTCAAATCGGTACTATTCGATTTGAATGACATAATATTATAAAATTAATTTTCAGCAAAATTTTTGTGGGTAGATTACCAGAAGGAGGGGACCGATTTGTCCCATTTTCGAAGTCGATTTATGTTTGAAAGAAATATAACATTGTGCACATTTTGTATCAAATCTGCCATTCCATTTGCCTGGCTTTGGGTTACACATTTTCAAAATTTTAACACTTCGTGAAAGATAAACCAGAAGGTGTAGACCAGTCGGTATATATATATATAATATAGATAAAGATAATATGTTTCGCAAAATTTGGCTCAAATCGGATAGTCCGTTGACATGGTATTATAAAAAGAACCGTAAGGAAAGTTCAAAAACCGGACAAGGCCGACTATATGATAGCGTTCACCAGTTTGGGTACATGCAAGTCATGTTAATATCTACAATATTCTGTAGATAGAACAGACGTAGAATCTTAGCAGGACCATTGAGATGGAATCGGGCGAAATTAAATGTGCTCTCTAATAAATATTTGAACCAATTGAAAAACCCCACACAAATACCCTTCTGAAATCAATGAAAAATTGCGAGTCAAATTATGTATGGGAGCTATATATAAACACATGGACCTAATTGAGTAACCTTTGCATACACCATTTGTAATCATTATATTCAATTTAATAACCTCTGCCAAATTTCATGTGCAAAATTTTGTCCCAATGGGACAAATATTGGGAGTTTGGTGTATCATTCACAACAAAAAAAAAACGGACGAAACTACATTAGTCTGGACCTAATTCAATACTCTGTGCAAAATTTTGTGCCAATCGGACAAATATTGGGAGTTTGCTGCATCATTCACATAAAATCGGACGAAACTATATATGGAAGCTATATCTAAACCGATTTTAACAAAACTTCGCAGACATCAGTCTGGACCTAATTAAGTACTCTGTGCAAAATTTTGTCCCAATCGCAAAAATATTGGGAGTTTCGTGCATCACTCACATCAAATCGGACGCCTATATATTTGGGAGTTATATCTAAATCTGAACCGATTCCAATAAAACTCCGCACACATAAGCATGGACCTGATTCGGTGCAATGTGCAAAATTTTGTCCCAATCGGAAAAATATTGGGAGTTTGGTGCATCATTTACATAAAATCAGACGAAACTTATATGGGAGCTATATCTAAATTTGAACCAATTTTCTCCAATTTCAATAGGATTCGTCCTTAGGCCAAATATGTGAACTGTGCCAAGTTTCATCCAAATCGGATCATAAATGCGGCCTGTATTTTGTTAACAAAAATACATGGACGGACATGCATAAATCGACTCAGAAAATGATTCTATGCATATTTTGAAAAGGAACCCTGGGTCTATCTCGATTCCTTTTGCCTGTTACAAACATATGCACAAAGACATAATACCCTGTACCACAGTGTGGTGAAGAGTATAAATAGTGAGCGGAGCAGTATAGTCGTACGGGGCCGGCCATACGATACTCTACACAACTACCACGGAACTGTAACTTTCTGTTTATTTCGTACACGAGCAATATTTCGTGATATTGCGCCCTCTTGACCGATTAGAGATCAACAGCACCTTTTCCTTACGCTAACATTTTGCCGATTATTACCAATATTCAGTACAGCCGGGCTAATTACTTCTCCAGATTCCCTTACCGTGGGTTGTGTTGTGATGTTTGGCTTGTGGCCTACAGATCGACTCGAAAAAACCCAAAAATTAAGTTTTCGGTCCACTTAATCCCAAATTTTTCATCACCGAAAATTATAGGCACTGTACTTGACCATAACTGAATCCTCTTGGAAAATTTTAAAGCGTCCAGCGCTATATGCCCTCTAATCTACCTATAAATAGTTAAGTTTAACTCCCACATCCGAGTACATACGACAATATAATTGATATCAATTTAAAGGCCAAACACTTCTCTTCGATATGCTATCAACTTCTCGGGTCTATGTCCTTCAGGAGTAAATATATACGCCATAAAATAAAAATTTTGTAATTTTTCATACAAAAGTGGGGGTCCATCAGACCCGCCAATGACTGATCATTATCCATGTAAAATTTCGACCAGAAAAAGAAACAAAAATGAAGTATTTAGTCAAATTCATCCTCTAAATACTAACCGATCTTTACCAAAAACAATGGGGGACTTCTTTGCCCAGTACCCAACCTACATGGAAAATTTTGCGAAGATTGGTCCATAACTGGCCTGTATCGTGTTTACAAATTATAAGGGACAGACGAACTGACAGTTAGTTAGTTAAAGATATGACGATCGGTATACTTACAAACTTTTGGGGCTATAATACCCTGACAACATAGTTGTGTATGGTATAATTCATCAAATTTTTGACCATTTTGAGTGGGAGGTACCAGCCAGACGGAATGACGGACATTTGTAAATCGAATACAAATTATCTAAAACGGATTGGTTCAAAGAAACCTGAGGTCTAAAACATCGGTCCATGTTTTGGTATGACTCATACATGAAGGCTTTGCACAATTGTTGGTGGCATTTCACAGATGACTGGTTATTTGAATTTCCAAAATATTTTCTAATATTGGTACACATTTTATTCCCTTTACCATACTGCAGTACCGGGTATTATGTCTTTGTGCATGTGCATGTAAGAGCCAAAAGGAAACGAGATTGACACAGGGTTCATTTTGAGAATATTTATAGAATAACTTTCTGAGTCGATTTATGCATATTTGTCATTCTGTCTTTCCGTGTTAAATTGTAAACAAGTTACAGGTCACATTTGGATCACACAGCTTGGCACAGTTCTTTTATTTGGCCCAAGGACAAACCCTATTAAAAGTGGAAAAATCGTTTGGGATTTAGATATAGCTGCAATATATATTTTCATCCCATAAAATGTAAATCAAGACAGAGTACTGAATTAGGTGCAAACTGATGTATGCGAAGTTTTGTTGAAATCGGTTTAGATTTAGATATAGCTATCATATATAGTTGCGTCCGATTTTATGTAAATGATAGACCAAACCTCCACCTGAATTAGCTCCAGATTGATGTATGCGAAGTTTTGTTAGAATTGATTGATATTTAGATATATTTCCCATATATAGTTTCCTCCGATTTTATGTAAATTGAGCACCATACAGCCAATGTTTTTCGATTGAGACAAAATTTTGCATACCGTATTGAAGTTACTACAGGTTGCCATCCGTGAAGTTATGTTGAAATAGGATCAAATTTAGTTATAGCTCCCATATATATATTTTCGTGCGATTTTATATAAATGGCGCACCGAGGAGTCTATTTTTGTTATATATTCACGAAATTTAGCAGTGAGTATGGAATTTATTCTAGAATACTTTTTGTTATGTTTGAAAACGGTTCAGATTTAAAAATATAGCTCACATATCTACTATAGTCCCATTTTATGTAAATGGTGCACCATAGATCATATAGATATAGATCCGATATAGATATAGCTCAGATATAGATATAGCTCCCTCATATATTTTTGTCTGATTTATGTCTGTTTGCTTTACATGAAATATTGCGTTTGGGGATTGAAGACGTCTCAGTTTTAGATATAGCTTCCATATATATTTTCATCCGATTTCATCAAAATGATGTACGAAAATAACTAAAGTTCGTTCGACAAATGTCTCAAATGAAAAGCGTTCTTCCTCATTATAAGTTACAATTTAGTCCATGATAGAGGTCTGTAAATTTGCATTTACATTCTTAACACCCAGCCGAGTCTTATTCCATGATATTTTAGTAGTAAATGTCTAAAATATCTATGGTTCTACCTTGATTCCCTCTGCTTGTTAAATACAAATACACAAAGAAAAACACCCTGTACCACAGTGCGATGTAGAGTAAAACTGCTGAACAAAAGTAAAAAAAAAAAATCAAAACATTTTCATTTCCATCATTTCAAAGAATCCTCCATTAAAGAATTACTATTTAAATTGCAATAAAAATAAAAACACAAATATTTTCATTTCTTTGTATTTTCAGATAAACACACACACATGCAAATATATATAAATGTATTTACAAAACTCTACAACAAATATTTAATGAATCCTCATCATCATCATGCCATGATGGTTGAATGTAACTGTAAGAATTTTCAATTTTCATTTGTTATTGTTGTTTTACCACTTTAAATGATTCATGTGTGTTAATGTCTGCGTCTGTCTTGTGTAATGCAAAACTACAACAGCAACAACAACAACAAAAGTAAACAATAAACAAATTAAATGTCCAGTCCTTTGCTATGTAATGTACTCAAACTGACAACAACAGCAAAAACTGTATGAAATAAGTGCAAGCTTTCACCTAATTAACCAATGTATTCGAAAAAAATAACAAGTAAAGAGAAAAGTAACTCTTCCCTAAAAACGGGACAGCATGAGATTGTGTGAATGCTAGAAAAAAAACTTCTAAGCATTTTTTCCGACAAACACACAACCCACAAGGTTGTCATAGAAATAATCATAGAAAAATGCATTAAAATTCAATCAGACTAACATTTAGCGAAACGCTTAACTGTAGAGAGTAGAGAACGCCAAGAGAAAACACTTCGCACAACTACCACCACTACTATCACCTGTATTATGCAAATAAATATTGCAAATAGTGGTCCCACAATGGCTGCATCCGAGCCACCAGAACCACCACCGCGTAATCCGGAACGCATTAATGCCACACTACACAAGTTGGCCGAATCAGTAAGTAGTGCAGATAGTGCAAATTTTCCACTTCACTTTCTTCATAGTTTGTTCTTGTTGTTCGTTTTCGTTTTTCGTTACCATTTAATTCATACTATCACATTTTCCGCCCTTTGATGTAATTCTTTTCCTGTTTACGACCTGCTTGCCCCATCTTCCAACCCATACCTTTGTAGAGGCAAGCCGAAGCAGCTGTTGCCTTTAGATTAGAATTTTTAATGTCTTTTTTCTGCATGTTTACTTACTTTCCCTTCTATTTGTGATCTTTGACTGCTGTTTCTTGAACCAAACCCTCTACTTGTAATCGGCCTTAAATCTTAAATTAAAAATTGTACCCACTCTTTAGCGTGTTTTTCGAAATCCTTTACATTATCATTCAACCATAGAATTTACCTTTTGCTATTCACTAATTTTCCGTTTTAAATGTTAGAAAAAAATATTAAAAAAAAAAATAGAAATAAAATCAGTGTTGCATGCAATGTAGACAGTTCAAAATTGAAAATGAATAATAATTAATGTTGGGGTTAGAGAAAAAAACAATAAAAAAAACACATAATTTAAAATTCAACAGAATGATTTTCACCATTTGAAAGTAGAGATGCTGTAACCTCACATATGTGAATCAAAAAATATAATAAATCTCTTCTACACAACGTAAAATAATTTAAGGGAACAGTATTTTTGAAAAATCGCCGATATTTTACCAAAAACCAAGTTAAAATATAAGGAAGATCTTCACCGATTGGCTTTATCCTAGTTCATACGATAGCTACACACTCAGAGAGAAACGTGTAAAAATTTGGAATCGATTGGGTTATTAGTTTTTGAGTTATCGTGCCCGCCATTCGCAAAGCCAATATTCAGAGAACTCGAGTTTAAAGTTTGAGAAGCCCTTCAGCCGTCACTTGATGCTGACACAATAAATCGGCTATATCATCTAGAATTAGTGTAGATACAAATTAAGTCAATAAAAATTTTGACCCCGAGAATGGGGGGTCCCCTTAAACAAATTTAGTGTTGAATTGAAGTAAAATATGTATACGTGTGATATAAATATGGGCCCATACCAACCTATTTAAATAACAATTGTGCGTTGACCAAATAAATCAGCCCTTGGGATATAAACGTACCCACCAGTGTTCTATGGCTGTATTTGTCGATTCCTGGCAGTTTTAACAAGTACTCAGACTTAGTCGCCAAGTTCTCCACTTCATCAATGACGTAAGAATATAACTGACTTCAAAAACACCAAATCCTCTTCTAACGATGCTTGTGTGCCAAGTTATATTATAAAGACCATTGAGCGGATCAGTGTATGGGTCCGACCATACACAACAACCACGTAACTCATACTTTCTGCGGATGTATATTCCGAGGCTGGGCCTTAGCGATATTTTATCGATTAGATGCAACAGCTCCTCTCTCTTACCCTGGCATTTTTTCCGAGCCTTGTTTTTCCGGGGTGAATATACGTGTATTTTACATATAAAGGTCTTGGTTGATTTGTCCCGATGAATATTGACCGGTCAGTCCTTGTAATTAGTTGTCCAGATTCCCTTACCCATGTGTGATCGGCTTATAATTGCGGTATTTAGAGCGACTTGAAGAAAAAACACACATAAGTTATGTGTTTGGTACATTTCGTCCATTCATTGTCCTTGACTATAACCGGAACGTCATGTGAGACATTTCCTCCATCTAGTGTGTGCAATACTAAACCAGTGGGCGGAGCAGTATAGTCGGGGCTGACCATATACAACTACCACGGAATTCAAACTTTCTACAGATATATAATCCGAACCAGTTTAATATTTCGCGATATTTGCAGTTTCTTGGCCGATTAAAAGACAAAAATCATGTTTCCAGGAGTAAAATATTACTCCATGAGACTTAATTTTTATACCCTACACAACTATGTTGTCAGGGTATTATAGCTTTGTGCAGCCCCAAAAGTTTGTAACGCCGCGAAATATTGGTCCTAGACCCACCTTTAAGTATACCGATCGTCATATCTCGACTAGCTGAGTTGATCTAGACATGTGTGTCGTCCGTCCGTCTGTCCGTCTGTCCATTATAATTTGTAAACACGATACAGGCCACAGTTATGGACCAATCTTCACGAAATTTTGCATGAAGGATGGGTTCTGACCAATGAAGACCCCTATTGTTTTTGGTAAAGATCGGTTAATATTTAGGGGATGAAATGGACCAAATACTAAATTTTTGTCGGTTTTTCTGGTCGCTCCAGAGGCCGCAATTATGGCCCGAACATCGTGAAATTTTACATGGAGATACGGATTGGGCCAAAGATTAAGCATGCCTATTTTGATAAGAATTGGTCAATTGGAGTGGTTGACCTTTAAATTGATACCAATTATATGGTCGTATGTACTCAGATGTGGGAGTTATACGTAAATATTTACAGGTGCTTACGTATTCACATATTATTTAGTAACCCATTACCACACTAGAGGGCGGAAATATGGCGCTGATCGCTTTGAAATTTTCCATTAGATTCCTGTTATGGTCCAGGACAACGCCTATAATTTTGGTGATGATCAGATAATAATTTTGGGATGAAGTGAACCGAAAACTTATTTTTTTGTGTTTTATTGGATTCGCCTATAGGCCACAATTGAAAGCCCAACATCACAACATAACCCACGGTAAAGAGAATCTGGACAAGTACAGTCTCTGAATATTAGAATTAGATCGCGAAATATTGGCAAAGCTCTGAATATAGAACCATAGAAAGTTAGGTATTCGTGGAAGTTGTGTAGGGTATCATATGGTCGGCCCCGTCCGACTATACTGCTCCGCTCACTGGTTTTTATTTTACATGGAAATTTTTTGGCGTGGGTCTTATAATTGCGGCGTCTAGAGCGACTAGAAAACCAAACAATAAACTTTTCGTTCCATCGAAAATTATAGGTGTCGTCCTTGACCATAACCGGAACCTCATGCAAAATTTCCTAACCATTAGCGCTACATTTCCTTCCTCTGGGGTGGTATTTTTTAAAACTAAATAATATGAGCATACGTATACACCTAACAGAATGTAATAAAACTACCACGCCTCTTGCATATACTATCAACTTCTTGGGTCTATATCCTAAAGGAGTAAAAACAAATCTTGTTATTTTTTCAAAAGTCTGAGTCCATTTGACCCGCTTACCGATTTTCATAAAAATAAAATAAAACCAGTAAGGAAAGTAGTAAAGTCGGACGGGGCCGATAATATGTCGCATTTTTGAAGGACCATTAACACGAAATTAAACATTCTGCAACCTATACTAAATTTTGGTCAGATATAGAGTTGCTTCTTACAATGGGACAAAATTATGTTAATAAATTTAAAGCAAAATATCGAAACCTAAACCGTTTTTATCAAAACTTGTCACATGTTCGGGCACATTTTGAGTTCTTCACTTATTAATCCAAATATATATAGGAGCTATATCAAAATCTAAACCGATTTTCAGGAAATTTAACACACGTCGTTCTAGGCTTAATTCAAAATGCTATGCCAAATCGAATGATATATGGGGACTTTGGTGCACTATATACCTAAAATCGGACGAAAATATATATGGGAGCTAATCTAAATCTGAACCGATTTTTCCCAATTTCAATAGGGTTCGTCCTTGGGCCAAATAAGTGAACTGTGCCAAATTTCATCCAAATCGGATCAGATATGCGACCTGTACTTTGTTAACAAAAATTCATGGACGGTCGGACAGACGGACATGCATAAATCGACTTAAAAAGTGATTCTATGCATATTCTCAAAAGGAACCATGTGTCTATTTCGTTTCCTTTTGCCTGTTGAAAACATTTACACAAAGACATAATACCCTGTACCACAGTGTGGTGAAGGGTATAATGAGCGACCAAAAAAAAAACAAAAATAAACTTTTTGGTCCATTTCATTTCTTTAATATAAACCGATCATTGTCAAAAAACAATAATGGTCTCCTTATTTCAGAACCCATCCTACATGCAAAATTTCGAAACGATTGGTCCATAACTGTGGCTTGTATTGCGTTTACAAATTATAATGTACAGACGGACGAACGGACACACTGTCTAGGTCGACTCAGCTAATCGATATATGACTAATATTTCGCGGCGTTACAAACTCTTGGGTCCGCAAAATTGATACTTTAGCTCCAAAACATAGATCAAATATGATGGAGACGTTTTCCTACTTCTGATGGAATAATCTGCAGTTCAACCAAACAGATCAACCTTCAGTCAGATACCACATGCATATGTCAACTCATTGTTTATGTTACATTACTGTAACATGAACTGCAATCGGAAAAAGTTTTTTTTATAACCTCCACCATAGTATGGAGGGTATATTAATTTTGTTTTTCCGTTTGTAACTCATCGAAATAATCATTACCGACCCTACAAAGTATTTATATTGTATGATATACGATATACCCATGTCCGTCTGTCTGTCGGTCTGTCAGTTGGAATCACTCTAGCCTCTAAACGAATTGAGATAAATCGCCAATATTTTGCATAGAGTCGTATGTGTTTGCAGGCAAGTCAAGTTCGAAGATCTCCACTAAAAATTAAAAATATAGGTCAATTTTTTCGGGTAGCCCCCATATAAGGGTACCCTCCACTTTTCGGTATTTTGCGGTTCTTGAGCGCGCTTTTCAACCGAATTCGCTGTTACTTTGTATTTAGTAGTCGTATGTGGTAACAATTGCCCCTACCAAAAAATTTTAATATTTGCCCTTTTAGGGGCAGTCCCAATATAACCCCTTTTATACCCTTTCCCACACTGTGGTACAGGATATTTTGCCTTTGTGCATATGTTTGTAACAGGCAAAAGGAACGCTTTTTCATTTGTTAATATTAAAATAGTTATCTGATTTGTTCCGCGTTTTGGGTTTGGATCTAAGACTCTGTTGTAATTATTTCACCTGCCGAGGATATCGAGAACCTTGAGCTATAGCCTGGGATGGCCCGTGTGACGAATATTTAGGTTTTCGACTGTCAAAAAGTTGTAAACGTCGAAAACGTCATATACCTGTATAAAATGTAATAAATGTAGTAAACGTCATTTATTTCAATATTATCAGCATATACAGCTATTTTAAAGAATATCTATTATTTTTACATATATCTGACCATTCCTTACTTGAACTGATAAAAATTTTAAAATTTTTTTGAGAAGAAAATTTTGAATTTTTTTATTAATTTGAGTAAAACAGCGTAATTTCCGAATTGATTAATGGAAATAGATATTTTGTCAAAAACCTAATGGATTTGGGTAGGTTTCCGACGTTTCTGACGTATGTATTATACGTCGGAAATGTATGTCATTTACGTCACTATTTCTTACAGGCCATCTCTGGCTATAGCCCACATTTAGGTCTAAGCCCCATATAATGACACTTCAGATTTCCGGTATTGTTAATAGTTAGCGTAAAGAAATATATTCTAATGCAAAAATTTTAGTTTCCAAATAGAGCTATACCTGTCCTCAATTAGCCATAGCACCTTCTATAATGATATCTACAAATGTTCGGTAATTCCACCCTAAATATTGACCGATCTTTATTAAAACAGTCATGCTAATTCTTTGGCCCGATGCCCTTCTCCATGTAAAAATTCGCGTTGTTTGGGCCATAATTGCGGTCTCTGGAGCGACCAGAAAATCAGACAAAAATAAAGTTTTTGATCCATTTCATCCCGTAAATATTAACCGATCTTTACCAAAAAGATTCATTTTCTAGAACCCACCCTACATGCACAATTTCGTGAAGATTGGTCCATAATTTTGGCCTGTATCGTGTTTACAAATTATAATGGACAGACGGACGAACGGACGGACACACATGTCTAGATCGACTATATACTTAAAGGTGGGTCTAGGACCAATATTTCGCGGTGTTACAAACTCGTGAGGCTGCACAAATCTATAATACCCTGACAACATAGTTGCGTAGAGCATAAAAATTGCTGAAATTTGTATTTGGTGTACATACCACTTTTGGGTATGTACCCTATATTTTCGATGCTAGTATCCTTTAGTATACCTATGGTGGAGGTTTTCCAAAGTTTGGCCCAGCCGAACTTAACGCTTTTTTACTTGTTTATATAATAGACCCTCCTCGGACAATCTATTCAGTTCATCTATCAAATATATGTTTTTTTCACTTCGTCTATAAAAAATTATTTCTTTCTGAATCTCTCTTGTGAAAGTTTCTGGTTCGTCTTTAAACATATACTTGCTTCTATGAGTCTATTAAAGACTACCTGCTTTTGGCCTCCTTCTGTTCGTCTTTGAAAAATACCTTGTTTATATTTCTATCCAACTCTCTTCTTCAAATTCAGATCATGAGAACCATATATAAATACCCTCTCCTAGAAATATGTTCTTCTCTATGAAATCTGCACTCTTCACAAAATACACACCGTTTATTAACGACTTTTTGAATAAGTCCGTCTGTAAAGAATGCATTACTTCGTCTGTGAAGATTTACTGTTTCAGCAGTCTATTCGGCTCGTAGTTAGTATATAGGTCTATGATAATTTTTGTATTATATAAGAGATCTCTTAAGCTAGTCTATAGTTATTTTTCCATTAGTCGTTTGGCCCGCTAAATATTGAACGAACCTCATCAAAACTTCGTGATGTCCTGGTGACCTATAAAAACAAAACAAAATTAAAATTTTTGCTCCATTTCTCTAAAATATTGACTAGTGATAATCAAATACATTGGGTGTCTTCTTTGGGCAGAAACGCACTGACTTGACGATTTGTCCATAACTGTGGCCTGTACTTTTCTTACAAAATAAACTACGGACGAACAGACACACGTGGTTAGATCGACCCAGCTATTAATAAAAGGTGGGTCTAAGGCCCAATATTACATGACGTTACATATTATTGGCGCCACACAAGACTACAACACCTCTATAACATAGTTGGGCAGTGTATAAATTTATTCCTCGTTCACAGAAAATGTTAAATTCTTATGCAATACCTGATGAGATATAATAATAAATTATTCGTAATTTCTCAGAATTTTCAGTTTCAACAAAATTGCATAGTTTTCATAATTCCTCAGAATACTTTGTCAACAAATTACTATTAAATATATCAAAAACAGACATTTATATATTCCAATGATTTTTTCCGACATTCTCTTAAGGTCCTTTTGTGAATTATTAACGGGAAGTGGATGGGTTCATTTTTCCCTCATTACACACCTGAATTGCTTGTCATAAAATGTAGTTGTTCTGTTCTTAAGTACTTTGGGCCATGCACTTTTGTTACTTTTCTCTCCACTACAATTTCATCTCATTATAAAAGTAAAAAAAAATAACAACAAAAATAACCCACCGTGTTTCGATGTCTTTGCCATCCATAAAATATTTGTTCACTGATTTTCTGCATTTTTCTTATCCTTCTTCACCTTTCTTTCTCTTTTCGTCCTTCTCCATTGTATCTTGCAGAAAAATATCAAGTCATTAGATTCCAGTGCACTCAATGACAAAACCGTCAATAATAATAAACCTTTGAAAACGATATTGTCATTGGATAATACAACAACAACAGCAGCAGCGGCAGTAGCAGGAAACGCGCAAACAGTGTCTGTGGCAGCCACAACGATAGTAACAAGTACGACAACGACAGCTGGCGCGGCATTCGTTGCAACAACATCTGTGGCATCTTCAACGACAACTACAACTACGGTTGGTGGAACAAACAAATTTGCTGCCAGCTCCAATAACGCCCAATCACCCTCATCGGCCACAGCAGCCGCCTCAGCACTTTTCTATAATAAACATAAAAATCAGCAACAAAAGCAACAGCAGCAGCAACAACAACAACAACAGCCACCACCACACAATGATTTAACACCGAGTGGTGAAAGCATCACATCGCCTTTAAGCTCAAATGGTAGCAGCCATACTCTAACATCACCAATGACTATTGATAATCAGCAACAACAACAACAGCAGCAACATCGTCTCAATTTTCCCTATCCTCCTGCGAAAGGTAATAACAGCAGCAGCAATAATAGCAACAGTTGTGGTGGTGGTGGTACAGATACCACTACAGCTATACCACACCATATGACCCAACAATTGAATGGTGGCAGCCAGCGTAGTGGCGTTGGTGGCCTTCTAAACGAACAACAACAGCAGCAGCAACAACAACAGAATCATCATCTAGCCAATGGCAGTACCAGTAGTGGAGGTAGTGTCAGTGCCGGTTCGGCATCATCGACCAACAGCAATCACAGTAACACAAGTCTGAATGCTGCCAACGTTTACAATTCCAATAACATTAACAGCAACAATTCACCAGCATCGGGATCAAATATTCATCCAACATTAGGTAAGTAATGCCAGACAATTGTCGATGTTGTTATCCTCTTCGTTTAAGTAATTTCTCAGAAAAAAATAAGTAAAGAAAATGTTGATAGACCAAATTCCGAAAAATCGTGATGATGTGTTGTGTGACAAGCGATTGACGATGATTTCTATTGATTTTATTTTTTCTATGGTGAATTTATTTTGGGTCTGTTAAAAAATAAATATTATGGAGCCGATGAGAACATTATTTATACTCTAAATATTTATGTAATAATTTTATGTAGGGCCTAGGGCACTGTATTGGAAAAATACCCATATTTTATTTTATTAATCGTCAAATTCCCATGAATTAAATCAGCTAGCTATTTAATGAAAAGTTAAGAAGTCGATAAGTTTGACAGTACCGAATATGTTTCTCCCTTCTCCATAAGATGGACACTCAGACCTACCTAAAATCGCTTGAGACCCTTATATTTGGATTATATCAGAATATGGAACAACATTGTAAAATGTTTATCAGGAACATATTCGTTATTCTTGCAGATTAGGACCTTAAACATACCGTAAAAATGTTGTGAACTTCATATGGGAACTATGCCAATTTAAGGGAACCCCACCCATTCTCGATTTTAATTTTTCTAGAATTTCAATGGGCTGATAAATCAATACCAATGCTTGTAAAGGTTTGTAACTTTGCACATATATATTTGAAGATTTAAAAGTGAAGAAAAATAATTTACAAAAAATTTTTGTTATTGTTTTGTTGTTGTTTTTTTGTAATTAAAGAAAAGTCCTTATTTTTGATGGCGGGCATGATAACTCCTCACTGGAACATCGGAATCCGAAAATTCCAACGGTGTTAGAAAGAGTACATGTCTGGCTCTCGTATGAACTAGGATTATTGACTTCGCTCTAAAATTAACAAAATGGTGGTGGACCTTTGAAAAAATATTTTTGGAAAATCGCCGATTTTTTACCAAAAACCAAGTTAAAAAATAAGGAAGATCTTCACCGATTGGCTTTATCCTAGTTCATACGAGAGCTATACACTCCCAGAGAAACGTTGCAAAATTTGAAACCGATTGGACTATTAGTTTTTGAGCCATTCGCAAAAAAATGTTTAGAAAAAAATGCGTTAAAAGTTTGAGAAGCCCTTCAGCCGTCACTTGATGCTGACACAATAAATCGGCTATATCTTCAAGAGTTCTTGAGATTTTCACTTGAAATTTTGTAGAGACATTCTTTAATCAGTGTAGATTCGAATTATATCAACAAAAATTTTGACCCCGAGAATGGGGGGGGGTCCCCTTAAAACCACTTCAATTGGGAAATGTCCTAAAAACCATTGAAATACCAAAAAATGGGACCTTCCTATGGAGGGCTATTTAAATGAATAAATATTTAAAATGAATTTGGACCTTTTATGGGGTTGTGGCAAATGTCCTGCAAATATGTTTTCGCCATTTAAGATTTCTAAATATGGTTCTTTTGATTTCTAGATATGGTTCAACATTTCAAAATACGATATTTTAAAGGCCACCGCAAATATAAACGTGGATTTTAAACCATGAACCAATCGAAAGCTTTGCTTTTTAGGGACATTTTGGACTCTATCAAACGTTAGTGTTGATTTTTTAAGGACTAACCCAAATAAAAACCGGGATTTTCCAAGAAAAATTTGAAGAACAATTTTTATCGTAATTGGATCATAAGTTGCCAATTTATAACAGCTTAGGTTGGAAAATGGTTCCCAACTAAGCTATGCCAAAACGTGGACCTATATAGAAAATTTCCTGCAATAATGCTTTCCACCCTCCGATGAGACGAAATGGCACATTACAGCCATTTTATTTGCTGAATACGGCTAAAATCTTCAAAATACCGAATATGTGGCGGAGACGTTATATGGTCGCTATATCAAAATCTTGACCAGATATATCAAATTTCTTGTGTAAAATTTAAACGCTATACATGTGATCCAATTATCGACATAGACTTTTATTCTGTGTCGAGAAGGTGAAAATATCGCAAAATATTGCTGATGCTCGAAATATAGATACAAAGAAAATACGAATTCAGTTGTGGTTGTGTAGGTTATGATATAGTCTCCCCCGTCCGACTATACTGCTTCGCTTAGTGGTTAAAAATATTTTGTTGTTGCATGAGCGTGGATTTTTTAATATATTTTTTTCAAGAACCAATCAATATTTTCGATGTTACAATTTTTATATTAAATTTGACATTAAATTTGACATTCCGCATGCAATACCACAAAATATTCACATTTTTCAACCGAATTGGCTGGAATTTTGAATTCATGTTAGGTAGCAAATCCTCATGCCAAATATTATCAGTATTGAGTATTTTTTTTTTGGATAGCTACACACGACGGTACCCCCTTTGGGGATTGTTTTTTTTACGAATGGACTCTTATTTGATTCCCATTGGGTGTCAAATTTTCCTACCAAAAATTTACCATGGTATAACTCGTTATATCTTCCGAAAGATTACTAGTATTTTTAATTAATTTATATCCGCCACCATAAGGGAGTGTATCAAAAGTTCGGCCCAACCGCTTAATTATTAATTTTATTATTAATTATTATATTTTAATGGACTTAGGAGTGGATTTTTGAATAAATGCATGGATTTTTTAAGGATAATTTCAAGGATCCAATGGTGATTTGTTAAGGATATTTTTAAGGACCTAAACTTGCATTTTCAGGAATATGTTTTAATGTGATTTTAATCGAATTTTTGAAGAATATTTTGTTAAGGCAAATTTAATTTATAATCATTTCTATAACAGTAGTTTGTATGCCCTTCACCACACTGTGGTAGGGGATATTATGTATTTGTGCATATGTTTGTAACAGGCAATAGGAAACGAGAAAGACCCATGGTTCCTTTCGAGAATATGCATAGTCGATTTATGCATGTCCGTCCGTCTGTCCATGTTAAATTGTAAACAAAGCACAGGCACAGCTCATTTGTTTGGCCCAAGGACGAACCCTATTAAATTTGGGAAAAATCGGTTCAGATTTTCATATAGCTCCCATATATAGTTTCGTCTGATTTTCAGTAAATGGTGTGCCAAATCCCCAAAATATGGCCGATTAACACACAATTTTGCACAACGTACTGAAGTTATTATAACAAACGTGTGCCATGTTTTAATGAAATCAGTTCAGATTTAGATATAGCTCCCATATATAGTTTTATCTGACTTTAAGTTAATGGTGCACCAAAGACCGAAAATAAAGATGATTTCGCACAACGTACTGAAGTTAGTATAGCCTAACGTGTGGCAAGTTTCGTTGAAATCGGTTCAGAATTGGATATAGCTCCCATATATATTTTCGTCCGATTTTAAGTAAATGACGCATCAATTACCCAAAAATATAGCCGTTGAAATCGGTTCGGATTTGGATATTGCTTCCATATATACTTTCGTCCGATTTCAAGCATCAAACTCCTAATGTATATCAGATTGCTTTTTGTACAGACACAGCCAATATATATATATATATTCGACCCACTCCATGTAATTGGACTCCGAATAATCAATGGGTGTCCCATTGAGATTTGCATTAAATCATGTTTAAGGGCACAGAGCCACAAATATAATTAATATTACTTATCAATATCAAACCCAAATCTTTAAATATCTCAATATAAAAAACCAGTGAGCGAAGCAGTATAGTCGGACGGGGCCGACCATACGATACCCTACACAACTACCACGGAACTCTGACGGATGTTTATTCCGAGTCTGCGTAATATTTCGTAATAATTGCCCCCTCTTAGAGGTCAACAGCATTAGAGGTCAACAGCACATCTTTCTTACATTTTCGAATATTCAGTCCTTCAAATTGCTTGTTCAGATTCCCTTCACGATGGGTTGTGTTCTGATGTTCGGACTAAATTCGACTTAAAAAACACACAAAAAAATTAAGTTTTCGATCCATTTCATCCCAAAAGTTTAATCTGATCATCAACGAAAATTGTAGGCGTTGTCCTTGACGATAACTGGAAGTTCATGGAAAATTTCCGCCCTCTGATGTGGTAATGGTTTACACAATAATATCTGAGTACGTAAGCACCTGTAAATATTTGAGTGTAACTCCCACATCTGAGTAGATACATCACTATATTTGGTAACAATTTAAAGGTTAACCACTCCTCTTGGATATACTATCAACTCCTCGGGTCTATATCCTTCAGAAGTAAATATATACGCTATAGAATACAAATTTTCTCATTTTTCACACAAAAGTCAGGGTCAATTTGACCCGCTAAATATTGACCGATCTTTATCAAAACATGCATGCTTATTATCTGGCCCGATCCCCTTCTCCATGCAAAAAGAAGGCATGGAGAAGGGGATCGGGCCAGATAATTGCGGCTTCTGGAGCGACCAGAAAAACCGACAAAAATTTAGTATTTGGTCCATTTCATCCCCTAAATATTAACCGATCTTTTCCAAAAACAATAGGGGTCTTCATTGGCCAGAACCCATCCTACATGCAAAATTTCGTGAGGATTGGTCCATAACTGTGGCCTGTATCGTGTTTACAAATTATAATGGACAGACGGACGGACGGACACACATGTCTAGATCGACACAACTAGTCGAGATATGACGATCGGTATACTTAAAGGTGGGTCTAGGACCAATATTTCACGGCGTTACAAACTTTTGGGGCTGCACAAAGCTATAATAAAAGATAGTAAAATGGAATTTAACTATATTACCAAAATTGTTTTTAGAAACAATTTTGGACTTAAATTGTTAAAATAGGTCCATGGGTACGCATAGTTCCCATATAAAGGGTATCTCATTATTTTTGGTATTTTGAAGACTTTTGGTACATTCTCAACCGAATTGACTGTGAATTGATATTTTATGTTCTCATTGAGACCTTACTAACAAAATCAATAATGATCCACGTTTTCGGTGAAGGGAAATGACTGTAAATTCCTTTTGTAGTTTTAATGGTATTTTTTTAGAAGGGAATAATA